GTAGTTTCTTGAAGAGAGAAGGAAGAGAGAAGGAGAAGAAGAGAAGTTGAAAGAAAAGAGAGCAATGATCTAGCCGCCCCCTTCACTTATTATTTATACTAAAATAATAGAACAATACAAAGACAACTATGCCCTTATAGGGCAGCAAAACATAAAACAGCATAAACACTCAAAAAACATAATAAAATTTGGACTCACATAACTACTGTGGTCCCCACCTCCTATCTAATGACTAACATAAAACATCTACTCAGAAAAACATCATAAAACTAATTAATCTTCAATACTTACAACTGTGAAAATATAAACAACAAATTTATGTAATCTAATGTGCAAAGTTGTTTCACTTACCATATGATGTGTGTTTGTCACTTATTATGACCATTACTTGAAGTTCATCATAAAATCGTCTAACCCTAATCTGACAGAGGCCAAGTTGTGTTAAGCTAAAGTATATTAGAGCCGGTAGTTAGGTGAAGAACATCACATAGATTCCCAATGTTGGGCCAAGCTGGAACTAAACAACTCCCAAGGAGGCTGAAACCCAGGTCAAGTTCTGAAAAAGAGCTTAGGTCCAATGGCATGTAATATATCAGAGCAAGTGATTCTCCTACATGTAAGATCCATATGGAGGATAAAACCTACCACTCTCAAGTCTCAACACATCCATATCAAGCATAGGAATTCCTGAGCATCAATCATATGGCACCTGATCCTATAATGAAAGCGGTAACAGTGGCAGGATACAATAACAAAAAAGAACCAACCTGAGCAATATATCCAGCACGGTAAGCACATATAGAGTCAACCAAGTGAGGTGCAGTCTCTTGAAGAATCTCACGCCTATCACAAATTCACAATTGTTGAGAAATAATAAATCTATTTTGTAATCTTATATTTAACAGAAACTAAAAGTAAAAATGTCAAGACACTTTCGAAAAAACTAAAGGGGAAAAAGAAGAGTGCAATGGAGACATATTAAAGACAAGATATTTCCCTACATAGGAGTTGATGGTCCATGAGATTGATATGACATACGTATAGCATAGAACAATTTCAGTGAGCTTGCGTGTTTTGCAAAAAGCAATGCAACGAAGTCCATGTTGAACCATTTCTGCAAAAAGGCAAGAGAGCTCCAAAATCGGACTGCAAAATGAAAAAAAAAGACATTCTTTTCAATATATAATTCAAAACATAAACAAATCAATGATCCATCATGTAAAAAAAATGTTTGGCATCATGTTCTTTCTTCTATATTTCTATAGAAGTGTATTTGTATGGTCTAACTGCAACATGATTTATAAATGGATATCCACTTGCATGAAAAGACAAGACCTTCATCAAGTATTCCATTAAAACATAGATATTTCCCATGCTTATGTTGTACCACTTGATTGATTTCAGCAATAAAAATGTCTTATAAAAATGATGCAGAAAAATAAAGATTGAAAGAAGAAGCTATAGCAAGAAGAAACTACCCCAAGTCATGGGGCTAGAAGGATATATCTGTCATACATCAGTAATATCATATAGAAAAATGTGTTCTAAATGTCAGAGTGTCAGACATCAGTAATATCATATAGAAAAATGTAAGGGCAAGATCTCTCACTATTTAGCATGGTCACAAGCATACAGAAAAATGGTGATAAGAGAAGATTATCTACCTTGAGCGTCTAGCAATGATTTCTGAATCAGCAGGTTTGTTTTCATTCATTCTATCCTGAGTTTTTGACACCTGTGATTTAGAAGTGTTTGCAAGTAAATTAGAATAAGATGAAGTTTCCATCAGAAATTTTGAATACAGAACCGAATTATTAACTAGGGAAGGCACCAACAGTCTTGAAATGTAAAGGGGGGTTCCATAAGGTAAAGAGCTTTGGACCACAAGGACTTCCATCATTATGAATCAGCTCTAATGTTGGCAGGCTTGCAAGTTCCTGAAATGGTTGAAAACTTATAAGCAATTGATTAATACTATTCTAATTGCACACAGTATAAATTTAATAATACTATTTTAGTTGCATACAATAGAGCCAAAGCAACCCAACATGACCACAAGAAATGCCTAAACATCATGATGCATCTACAATCAGGGCTACACAATAGAGATGTCACAGAAGTTTGTATCTTTTTTTTTCTAATAAACATAAGAAGCAAAGTTTCAGTCATGTACAGAAAATGCACAGAAATTAATAAGATGGTCAACTATCCATTCCTTTACGAAAACTATTAATCTGTAATTTACATCATTGCAAATGCTTATGTTGCTTCAGTTACACGATGCATATTCCAAAAATAAGGAAACCCTTTGCATCTTCTTCATTAGGGTACTCTAATCCTTAATTGCGTCTATTACATGCTTACAGCCAAGGCAAACAGCATGACATCAAACTGAAAAGGTTCATCACTTTGTCTGAATCCAGTGATTTATTAGGAAAACAACAGAAGACAGAAAACCGAAAACAAGGATCTATTCATTTTTCTTCCAGTCATACCATAGCATGCTCACGGGGGTTTGCTGAAGTTGCAGTAGAAAATACAAAGGAAGGATCACTACCATATACTGCAGGAAGCAAACAGTGCATCAGCTATGACTAAAAAGTTAAGGAAGATCAAATTTATCCACAAACCATATAGCAACAATATTACCATGGCAACAGAGACGACGAAGCCTCCTAAGTATAAGAGCAGTATGGCATCCAAAAGCACCCTTATAAGCATGAGCCTCATCAATGATGACAAACCTGATTTGAAACATATATAGAAGAAACTTTGCAGTAAAAACTTTGGACTAAATAAATCTAGTAGCCCAAATCCTGCAATTTTTAAAATGTTAAGATTGCTAATCTAAATGCTGAGAATACTCTCAGTGGGCTACAGTCTCATCCAGAATGAACAGCATAAGATATTCAAAGCAAAAAAAAAGTCAAAACCAATAGGACATAATTATTGTTTATGCAAAACTACCTAAGGTTTGACAAAATCCGTTGAAATTGTCCATGGAATGGCAAGATTGACATGTGTAGCATATCCGGATTTGTGATTAACTGCATATGCCCAGACAATAATATCAACATAAAGTGGGTTAAGTATCCAGATAATGGCACAACTATCCTGAAGCAACCAAACTTACAAAACTACCAGTCTAGCACTATCACGTAGCCACATTCTATCTTCTTGAGAAGTGTCACCATCATATACACCAATATTTATGCTGAAATTTGATCTCTCTGTCATTGCTAATAAAGCTCTCAACTGATCTTGAGCTAAGGCCTACAAGTATTAGATTATCATGTATTCTGGAATCTAGAACTAGAAAGGCAAATCTCAGCTAAAGCACCATGAGAAAAGCAAAATCACCCATGCTCTTTAATACAAAGAAAGAAATTTTCTACCCATTGACCTTTGTTGGAAATAAATATATAGCACATGAACATAAATTCTGGGACAATGCTTCTAGCACTGGCAGGTTGTAGCAAAGAGATTTCCCACTAGATGTCATTGTTGCCACCACAACATTCTTACCAGAAAGAGAAGCCTGTATTGACTCTGCCTGCAAATACCAATAAAACGCTAGAGAACCAAAGCAATATGTGGCTTCAAGCCTTGAACAAAGTACTGCAATACAGACCATATAAAATACCTGATGACAGTATAATCTAGATATCCCAACTTGTTTAAGCAAGGATCTTGTGTTCCCTGAGAGGCTCTCTGGAATTTCCACATGAACAGCCATTCTTGCACCAATTTCTTCAACATGCACAATCTACAAGAAACAAACTTTCTCTGTAGTATTCAAGTTACCTTTATATCATTCTATAAACTACATAAATAGAAAAGCATCAAAGAAACCTGTCCTTGAGACCCAATGCCCTTTCTTAGATGCTCCACCATTTCTACTGGTAGCAGTACACTTGTTTCCTGTTGACTCAGCATATTATTATAATGAAATAAAATGGATTTCCTCCAAATAGAATTCTGAATCACAAAATAAAAACATAGAAAATTCCGAATTAAATAATTTAAAAATGTTTTGATATGTTCAATCTCATCATTAATGATTTTAGTTTCAAGGATTGACTAACCAAAATCAAATAAACAAATTTACTAAGCAAGGGCTATATACAAGATTATTGACTCTTGCTCTCAGTTTAGTGTTTTGATAAACAGACTAGCAAAAGGAGCACACCAACCACTAAAAGAGTGAAAATGAAGAATGAAAACATACATAACATCGTGTTTGCACTGATTGAGAACTTGAGGTGATAGAGCAACATCTCCTTGTGTTCTTTGCTTCACTGCCTTTTGAAACATAACCACTATCCTTTATAGATATTAATAGATCTTCCAGTGAGAACAGTTGATTGACCATGTTTCTAGACATGGACTTACCCTGCAAGGTAAAAGCTCTAATAATGAAAAAGCAAGTTCCATTGTTCAAGTTAGGCCCAGATGAGCTGCCCAACATTTAGACTAAAGAAATTGAAGATTTAGCAAATTTCCCTATGAAATTTAGAAAATTTGGCCAAGTGATGAATCCTAAAACATTAGGAAAAATATAGTACTCAAAAATGAAACTACACAAAAGAAGTAAAGGTGCACAACCAATAAAAGAAGAAGTCCAATTACACAAGGATGACTATAGAACTACAAAAGAAAAAAGAAAAGTGTACAAGAGAAGATTAAAAAGATTAAATAGGCAATAAAACATGACAAACCAATAACAACTTCTATACTTAACCAAAAAAAAACAAATCTTATAAAAAAATCATTTCATTTAAGGCACCCTGAGGCTTGAGTTCATCTCTAGGTTGAGCAGAACCTTGAAGTAATCCCTACACTGTGTAGTGTCTATAAGGCTATAAATATAATAGTACTGCTCAAGATAAAGGAATTTTTGTATAGTGCTGATTCAATGCTTACTTAATTGATTCAGGCCTTCTTTTTGTTTTTGAGGCCTGTTGTACATCCTTCCCTTATTTGAGTACAAGTTATCTTTCTTCAAAAAAATATAAAAATTTTGCATGTCATAAACCTTTAACAAACAAACTCTACAAGGAGTTAGGAGTATCTAAGAAGAGCTTCATATGAAGAGAAATACCACTAAAGAGTTAACTGCTGCCCGTAGGTTTCTCTTGAAGACACCTTCCCGTTTCTTTATCTTGTTCATAATTGCTGATATAGATACTTGCTTAGCTGGAACAAGAAACATGAACATGAAGACTAATCCAAAGCCAAAAAGAATTCCATTCAGATGATTATGTCCTTGAAGCTGCAAAAAGGAGACAAAAACAAGAATTCAAATGTACCAGCTTTAGGATGGTCAGGTTGATCAGCCAGCTCTGCTGAAGACCTGACAATAACAATGGCATCATCCATTTGTGCAGCCCCAGTTGCTTGAATGCCAAGTCTTACTACCTAAGAAAAAACAGCATATATAAAAATGTCCTTGAACCTGGTGAGGACAAAAGAGCTACCTTTATCTCAATGCAGGAAGTAACCCTAAGATCCGGAAAATTGTACAAAATGGTGAAATAATAAACATAAACCTATTTGTTAAGTTTAACATGACAAGAGGAGGATGGGAAAAAGATGCAGTTAAGGTGAACCTTTCAACACTCCCTAAATAAAACCACAAAAATCATAGAGAACAGTGTGTATAAGCTTAGTGATTATACTTTTCTTTGTCATGGTTATCTAGAATAAGAATTGAGCCTCCCAGATTATACATCATTCATCAAAACAATTTAAAAGCAGAAAAAGGATAGGCACTCTAAAACACACTTCCAGGACATCATAGGAACAATGGCAGACAGGTAGAAAAAACATGAACTGCAGTCGGCAAAGAAGGCTACCTGGAAAATTTATCAAAAAAGGACAAAACACTACAGAAATAACTTCTGGTTTCCATCTTAAGCCTGAGAGAAAGCTAGGAAACCACATACTTGATAAGAAAATCCCTTTTTTGATCATTAACAGGGTAAAAAATTGTACTCAGTATATAAAAAAGATATAATACTACTCTCACAAAAGAGTAGAGACAAATAAAACCAGAAAAGAGCAAGGAGTGACCAATATTACTTCTTATCAATTACACATTGATGTCACTTTCCATCCCTGACACATACCCATTCTCAGGTATTTTAAAATCCCAAATTTTTGCAAATAGATCCCAACTATTTAGGATCAGCTACATGTGTTCCAGACATTATGCTCTATTGAATGCCATGTTTTCTGTCAAATTGAAAGTCCTTAGTAGGAATGCAAACAGATCGGACCAGATACGAATCAGGGTATATTTGAATCCGATCCGGCATTGTTCATGTTGGATCCACACCGATTCAAAGATCTGATAGGATCTGATAGGACTCGATTTGAATTTGAATCCTATCGGTAAGTCAGATCTTCGAATCTGATCCAATCCGACTTGTTTTCTTTAAAATTTAATAAATTATTAAAAGAAAAATAAAGTATACTAATTTAAATAAAGTAAAAACAAAAAAATACAAGTATTCTTTTAATTATTTTCATCATATATATACATGTTTTTTATAAAAAAATAAATAATATAACAAATTTATAAAAATATATTTATAAATAAATAGATAGCATATATATGTATTATATATATTTATTTATATTTATAAATATATAATATACATCGGATTAAATCTTCTCGGATCGGATAGGGGTGATCCGAATCCAATCTGATTTTCTGATTGGATCCTATTATCTGATCCGAAGATCCGAACAGGGGTGATCCAAATTCGACCGAATAGGATCGGATCTCAAATCGGATCGGATCATTACTGATCCATTTGCACCCCTAGTCCTTAGATCATTCTCTACCTCTTATATGCCTCAAGAATGAGAAAAGTCCAATAAGGAATTACATGACAAAATTGGAAGGATCCTTGGTGTTAAGAGAACAAACACATCATCCACAGCTTCCTGACCCTTAATACAGCTTACAGAATGATTTGAACCATGCCATACCCCCACATGTAATCCCCTTGTCGATCATTCCCTGCCTCTCCCACTGCCATAATAAGGTGCTTATGATCAAACAAGTGAGACAGAGAAGCTCGTTTTGCTTTATCTATGCAAGATAAACTGAAAAGTGATAACCAATATGCAGAACCAGCAGTCCACCATTGCCCCTGCTTGGAAACATGGAGCCTATTTTAAATTTCTTTAGTAGTTTGTGTTTAGTGGATTAATGGACTATTATTTGAAAAGTTCTTACATGACTAATAAGTTATTTACTCTCCTAACTCATCTATGCATTCATCTTGTAAGTGATTTATTATTAAAGAAGAAATTATTCACCAATCTTTTCGTTGAGAGCTTAAGTAAGCCTAAACCTCAAAGTGGGCATCATTCATTTCTTCTTTTTTCTTTTTCGTTCAAAAAGAAGTGTGTAACAGGGAAGCTGTTGGATTTATTCTCAACTAATGGCTCCAGTAGAATAGCAGACATGCCTTGCCCATAGAAATCAATCGAGTTCAGATAATAGAGACTGATTGTTTCAGAAATTTAACATGGACACTGTCATGTGGTGGATTTGAGAAAAATAAAATCAAATACCTGAAGGGAACAAATAATCCTTTGAAACTGTAAGGAGTGCACTCTTTTACTCATTAGTTCATGAGATTCACATCCAAGGAATTTATTGGGTGCTGTTCAATGGTCATATGAGAAATCTAGTGGAGATCCTTCTTTCATCCCCCTGGACCCTCATGCTACAGGGGGAGGTGAAGTTGTAGGCTTGTAGCCCCAAAGGAGATGCCAGACTACAAGAACTCCAATGCATCGAGATTTTATAGGGATTAACCTTGTGCCATGGAGACTCTTGAAAATTGGGAAAAAAATACAGACATGCACATTGGCCTTAAAACAAATAAATAGATAACAAAAATGGTTGATGTGGAATAATCATGAAAATTGTGAAAAACATGTAAAATGATATCTGAAATAAAAATGCAATCTCGATTATGAAACTGAGGTATTCTATTGGCAGAATAGGAATTTCTTCAATCCACTCAACTACCTTTGGACAAAGAACTGAAACATGTTCCATGTCCGAGATACCAACATCAAGCCCATATCTCCTCATCTGCTCCAGTGCTTCCTGTAAACAATCCCAAGTGGTAAACTTCTGCTGCATTTGCAGGAACCCTGAGAAAATGTTCAAGAAAGCAAAAGCTTTCAATATGATCTTCAACCATGACGGACAATGGCACAACTTCTTTTTATCCTTCTCTGCAAAACCAACTTCTCTGAATAACAAGCAGCTTCCCGATTGTGGATCAGACAAGCAATCCACCGACTCCAAAACCTGAAGAAACCTCCCACAACCATGTTCATCAAGGACATTCGTATTAGTTGAGCAAAGAATGTTCTTAAGAAGGCCATCAGGAAGTCTTTCCCGTTGATCACCATCCAACACTCTCATGCGTTTGGCTTTTGAAGTGCGGGCATCAGAGCTTTCACCAAACAACGTATCACTTCCTTGAGCATTTCTACCATATGGTGTTAAATCGGGTTGAATTTCACTTGGCGGATTCTTTGACAAGGATGACAGATCGCGCATCATATCTGACCATGCCAAATCTGCAAATGGCGAGGTTGTGCTCTGACTAGGAACCTTTGGTGGCTCTGTGCCCTGCTGAGGGAGTATGTATTGTGTCTGACGCCGGTCCTTCTTATTAAAAGGAACAAGAACGACGAATTCACTTTGCCCAACGGAATAGCTATTTATCCGACTCCCCAAACTCATTTTAGCTCCCTGGAATGATAAATGTAGAAATTGAAAGACGAGATGATGATAAAAAAGTAACAAAAGTAGACATTATCGGAAAACAATATACTATGTAACAGTGAAAGACACGTTTGGGATATGTTAGGTAAATTTTACAGTTTGACTGAAAAACAAGGAAAAGTACTTTTCAAGAATCGCCAGCTACGAATAAATATTTTTGGATCAATGCCGCAGAAGGAGAACAGTTACAGGGAAATCAGTAGCAGTGACTAGTGCGAGCATCCAGAGAGAAAGAGAGAGGGAGAGAGAGATAAACGGATAGCATGTAATATATAAATTTTCAATATAAGAAAATAAAACCTTAAAAAAAAGGTGAAAATTCGGAGAGTTTTTAGCGGGAGCGAAAGAGTCTTTCAGCATAAGTTTTAATTCTTCAATAGTGCTGTTCGGGGAAATCGAAATGGTTGTAGATTCGCCCGCTAGGCTTCGGACTTGGATTTTTCTCTCGCTCACTTCCATCTCTTCTCGAATTCTTGAGCAGTTGGAGTTTGCAGTGGACGAAGATTATAGTTACTCTATCGTCCCATGCTTGAGCTGAGGCCTGAGAGTAAATATTTTTCGCCGGAGCAATGTCACGTTGTTTCATTCAAGCTTCCGGCTTCCTTGTCCTGGTTCGCGCCTTCGCGGGAATTCTGTTTGCGCGTCAAAACCCTAGTTCAAATCCTATGAGCGAAAAAAGAAAAAAAAAACATCACACGTGTAACGAGGAGACCTACACTTCAACATGTGCCACTGTGCCGGTGTTAATTTCCCCCTCTGTGTGGGACCCTTATCAAATCATCGCCACCATTAGGGTTTTGGGTTTTTGCCGCAGCGCTTAAAAACCTAGTTAAGTTCAGTGGCCGTTCTTCCTTTGCGGTCTAGGGGGAAGTCAGGGATTTGATCGGTTTCCTTCTTCGACGAAGCACTGAAAAATGGTACGCAAATGGCATCTCTATTCCCTTTCCGTTCTATGCTTTGCTTCTCCTGCTCAAATTTATGTGTATTGTAGAAGTCTTGTCTGTATTTTTTTTCGGCCTCATTTGTTGCGACTGTAATCGGAAGATGCATCATTTAGTTTCTCTTTGCTTCAAAGAAAAAGAAATGCTTGTTATTGGTAACACTTCCACGATACTTGAATCACTTCGAAATACAAGGATGCTTCTATGTTTTCTGTATTTCTCCAGATCTTATAGTTACCAAAATCGCGAATTACGACTATGTCAATTGTTAGAGTCGATAGGTTCATAACAGTGTTCTTTATTTTCATGCATAATTCTTTCACCGGTTATGTTGTGTGCCTTATTCAGTTCGAAATAGTTCTTCAATAGTCTCGAATTGCAAATAAAGCAGCATAAATTTGAATTCTTAGAGAGCAAGATTTTGGTGGCCGCATCGATGGGACTAAAGCTAAAAGGGATGTGAAGATTTATACGTTCATTTAGCGATTTGCCTTTTGTTTTCTTTTCCTTGACATGGAAAAACCTCTGACTATGGAGGCCGGTTTGTCTGCAACATCGTGCTCCTTCCAAAGAGTTCCTAGACTCGGCATTTCCAATTTGAATTTGTGAACGTGTGAGAATATGCTAAGCACCGATTTATTTTGAAGCCTTTCGTATTTGTTCTTACCGAATGGTGTATAAAGAAGTGGTTTATCATGAAAACTTGTAGTTGTGGTATCAGTAACTTCTCATTGAACATCAGATACAAGGAACTAATAACGTGACCTATGCAGTAAGGATATTTGCTTTGCATCATCATAACCATATGATGGATTGATATTGTTTGTGGATGATTCCAGTAGCATGATAATATACACTTTGTCAGGCATATTTTTATCGAGTGGTTGACAGGATTGTCCCTGTGATACATACATGTTTGATTTGATATAAGGACCCAACGGCCTTCTAAAAATTTTTCATTATGTCCATGGCATTGGAAAACAGTTCACTCTTGCTAATTTATTTTAATTTTCTCCAGGCGCCTAAAAGAGGTGGAAAGGCCCCTGTACCAGCCAAGAAGAAGCCAGTAAGTTGCAGAGTCTGTTTTATTATTAAGTGTGGGTACACCATTTTTGGGTATATTTGAAATCCATGGTGGGGTGGGCATCATTTGGATCATGCATTCAATTTCCTCTTTGATTCCATGGTTTATTGGTTTTCAAATACAACAACCGATATTTTACCAATTTGTCAACTAATAATCCAAAGTGAGACCACATTGCAGTGTTGCATGGACACGGGCACAAAAATCAGAATCTGACTTCTGACAAGGAGTCTAACTTGGCAAGATGAAAAACAAGGAAAAGCAAACATGTTTACAAACAAGTACAAATTAAAGTACTCCACACTTTGCTTTTTAACATTATAAACCTATAAAAAAGTTTTTAAAAAATATCTTTGTTAATCAATAACATTTTGTGGGAGAAATGGAATTCAATGTGTTTATTAACTTAGGGGGTGCAATTGAGCTGAGTTGAGTTGAGTATTAGGCTACTCGAGCTCAACACAAGTGAATATTTGCAAACTACTTGAGTTTGGCTCGACTCAAGCCAATTATAAATAAATTAATATTATAAATGTTATAAATAAAAATATATTATAAATGTTATAAATAAAAATATATTATAAATGTTATAAATAAATTAATATTATAAATGTTATCAATTAGGCTCATGAGCCTCTTGAGCGAATTTTGCAAAGCTTGAACTCTATACAAGTCAAAGCTCAAATCGAACTCAGTTATCTTTGAGTCGAGAGTGAGTATTTAGCAAGCCAAGCTCGAGTAGTTCACCTTTCAAGTAGCTCAGCTCATTTATACCCCTATATTAACCATTCATTATGTCAAATAAGCAAAAAGAGAAGGAAAGATGTCACATAGAAGTGTCCCTCATGAATACATGGAGTGTTGGGAGTCCATGCAACACTGCTACAGAATCAAGCTTGCATATTTAATGCATATCATTCTTTCGACTAGTGTGTCATTCTATGTCTGGGGTTTTGAATGAACTAAGCATTTTCAATAACAATTCCAATTGAAGAGAACCCTTACATATTACAGGAAAAGGTGGTTAACCCATTGTTTGAGAAGCGCCCAAAGCAATTTGGGATAGGTGGTGCATTGCCTCCAAAGAAGGATCTGCATAGGTTTGTAAAATGGCCAAAAGTTGTACGTATTCAAAGACAAAGGAGGATTCTGAAGCAGCGTTTGAAGGTTCCACCCGCTTTAAACCAATTTACGAAGACACTTGACAAGAATCTAGGTACTTTGTTGTGTTTTCATTCTCTTATTTCTGATCTTTTATTTATGTTGGTTATGGTTGAGCCAGCATGCACTGTTCCCACTACAGCTTTATATGATCTTTTGTTTGACACTTTATGGTGCAGCAACAAATCTTTTCAAGTTGCTGCTCAAATATAGACCAGAGGACACGGCTGCTAAGAAGGAAAGGCTTCTTAAAAGGGCACAAGCTGAAGCTGAGGGGAAGACAGTTGAGGCAAAGAAGCCCATTGTTGTCAAATATGGTCTCAATCACATCACCTATCTGATTGAGCAGGTATGCCTGTACTACTACTTTGGTAGGCTTATGGATGTATGGATTTTTCCCCTTTTTTTCAATATCTAGACATCCTTGCTGGTACTGTTTTGAAGTCCATAATTGAGGGGGGGAAATGCAATGGATTTGAAGTATCTGGTGTGAGTAAATTGATTTCAGTGGGTAATTGTCTATTATTTTATTTTTGATTTATTAATCAAGCATGCATTTAGAATCACTAGCTCAGACAGTGTAATGCTTTTTATACTTTTTTGGATACTCCCTTACTTTTTTATATTAATACAATACTTATAAAAAAGGCATTACCAGCTCAAACGTTTAAGCATGAACTCATTTGTTCCTTGTGGCTTTTTATGCATGTTCATTCTTCTTGGGGAGGCTTACGCCTCCTTGTGTTCAGGAAGTTTATGCCTCTTATTTTCTGAACTACGTCCCATGCCTCTAGGTAGTGGAACGCCTCGCGTCATGCCTCTGCGTTTTAAAACATTGGTCTTAACTGTTGCATAATCACATCAAAAATAAGGGATTTAGTTTGTTTTTTCTTCTTAATCCATGCAGAACAAGGCCCAGTTAGTTGTTATTGCTCATGATGTGGACCCTATCGAGCTTGTTGTTTGGTTGCCTGCCTTGTGCCGGAAAATGGAGATTCCTTATGCTATTGTGAAGGGAAAATCACGTCTTGGAGCAGTATGTTTATTTTTCAGTGCTATTTAGTTACACAGAATTACCATTCCTTCTGTGTGATTGTATTATGAGACAACATAATAATTGAACCTTTCTCTTGTTCATTTTGAGCAGATTGTCCACAAGAAAACTGCCACTGCTTTATGCTTAACATCTGTGAAGAATGAAGATAAGTTGGAGTTCAGCAAGATTGTGGAGGCAATAAAGGTAAAAGAGAGAAAAGTTATTGTCAAAAAATGGCATTGGACTTTTTCCTGGTGGGAAGTGTTACTTTTGGATTATGGTTCTTTAATTTTGGCAATCTGGATCAATATTCTAAAATCAAAATCCCAGATGTCAACTGTATTTCTTATGGACAATTTTGGAAGCTTTCATCAAAATTTCAGGATTATGTCCATGCTTTTTGCTAGGAATTTTAAATTATAAATACTATAAACTAAGGGTCCATTTGGTTTGCTTGAACAGGGGTTTGGAATCAGAACAACAATGGTCCAATTCCAACTATTTGGTTGGGTGGAATCGAAATCCCATTCCCATTCCTGGTGGAATGGCATTCCCCTATTTGGAATGAGAATTCATTCACAGCTGATTCCAATTCCCATCTAAACCAAACAGGTGGGAGGAATAAACCATTCCGATTCTTATTCTGACTGTGAAGCAAATGGACCCTAAAACAATATTATAAATTAACAAGTTTTTTTTCAAAAATAACATCTGAATCTGAAATTTCAAAAAACAGCAATGCTAGTATGACCAGGCCTTGTAAGCATGGGTTTTCATTCATATATCGGGGCGTCTGGATTTCATGGCTTGTCTTTTTTCATTAAATTACAAGATCCACTGTTCTTTTTCTGATTTTTCTAGGTCAAAGATAGAGTAATAGCTCAACACATTGTTTTTCTTAGGAAACAGTTTTTTCCAATAAGAAAAAGTTGAAATTTCGTTTTTTTTTTCTATAGAGAAATACTTTTTAAGTAAATATGATGCCTTGCCAAACCTTTAAATATACCACCCCACCGGAACTGAGTTGGGATCTGCTCCCAACAAAATTCATTCCAGCACTCTACAACATGATCTGGCAGCGCACATCTCACCATGAGACTAGGACCCACCATAAAATTGAGATGCACCATGTTTGAGATGTATGGTGTCAAATCATGTTGGAATGTATTTTGTTGGGAGCAGATCCAGACTCTCAGAAAACCCAGAAGGAAAGGACTTTTGTAAATGTGTCTGAAATCTGAATGACTGTCTAGGGTTTTCAGTAGTCTATAATTTCATTTGAAGGTGCACATTTTAACTGCTTGAAAGTGATTGAAAAATTCAGGCCAACTTTAATGACAAGTTTGATGAGCAACGCAAGAAATGGGGAGGTGGTATCATGGGTTCCAAGTCTCAGGCAAAGACTAAAGCTAAGGAGAAGCTCCTGGCAAAGGAAGCAGCACAAAGGATGTCATAAGCCTTCCTCGGGGCCGATTGTAGCAGGAAGAAAACATTGGCAATCTTATTTGTACTTCACTTTCGAATTTCATTTTGGTTGTGGAATTTTGCAGCCATGTTGTTACCTAAACCTAATTTATATTCTGGCTTTAGCTGTAGAAAGGAGAAATTTAGTACTAGTGTTGTAGCCCGCTGTTTAAACTGTTTTTTTCCTTCATTGTGGTTATTTCATATTTGTTGCCCCTTAAGAAGATAAGAGGTAAATCTCTAGAAACGTTGGACAGGTGAAGCTGAAATTTCATGCATGAACCTATCGATGAGATCGAATTTTCATTTATGAATGGTGATCAGTTGATATTCTGCTTATCATTACTTTTTATTGGTCGTATATAATGAACGTGGTATGGACCCTATAGTAGGGTAAAAATCTCCCAAGCATCAAATCCATGAGGTTTAGAACTAGGATTACTTTGGATCTTGATGCTGAAACTTTCATTTACTATAATAAAAGACCACCATTTCTTTCCTTTTTCTGTAATAGTCACATGTCACTCAATCTAAGAGAGGTTGATTACAAGGGATAATTCAATCATGGTGTAGAAATTGTATAGTTAATTAAAAAAATAATCAATAGTTTACTTTTCATGGGTTTTCATCGGTTCATGTTTTACAAGGTGTATTTGTTATTGGTTTCTGATTTTATTCCAGATTGTAGTTTTAGATTTTTTTCTAAAATAGATAGATACAAGGGATAGTTCTTGAAAGTTGAAACTCCACCAAAGACGAGGGCGATTGAAATTCTAAGTTCAAAATATGGATACGTTTGATACGCTGGTAATAATATATCAGGAAGTATCGACGGTTTTTTCTTTTTTTTTAGTTTATTCTTTTTTTTTTAGTTTTTTTTTAATCTGGTTTGAGACCCCGAAACACTTCTTATAGGGGCATATCTTCCGATACAATACGTATCAGCCGATAATACTTTAAACCTTGTAAAATTCTCTAAGGAAGATGCTCTGGGTCCTTTGGTACAAAAAAATTGTTGTACCATACCATTAGCAATCTGCAACATTAATTACATCAGCCTGCTTTTTTCCATTTCAAAATTAAAGTAATTTTTTAAAATTGTGCAGCGGATTGCTATTGATTTGGTAGAGAAAATTTCCTATACCAAGGGTACAGAGGATGTGATTTCGATGTACCTCATTCTTTGTTATGGTTGAAAGGGAAAGTTATTTAAACTCCACAAAAGACAAAGAGGAAGTGAAGTTCTCTAACGAAGGAACAATTAGGGCTGTTCATAAGAAGGCCCAATTCGACCAAACCGATCAATTCGGACCGACCCAATTTGAATCGGCCGGGTTTTCATCAGCATCGGTCGATTTTATGTTGTACAAATTCATAAGCCGATGGTTCGGGTTGGTTTTGGTTTTCTTGTGTGAAAATCGAAATCGAACCAAACCGAACCGACTTAGTTCCTACTTAACTAAAAACTGAAATATTTGAAAATATATATTCCAATATCTATATCTAAAAAATATATATTTCAATATATATATATATATATATATATATATATATATATATATATATATATTTCTAAAATACATATTTTAGTTTTAAATATATTTCCAAAAAACTAAGTGGCCATGGGGGGCATGGATGAACTTAGAGCCGAAACCGACCCAACCTGACTCAAACCGACCAGGTCGGTTTTGCTTAACACTGGATCAATTTCGGTTTCCATCTCAGGTAACCCAACCAAGTTGGGTCGGTTGAAAAAACCTCAGTAAATTGACCCAATGTGACCCGTGAACAGCCCTAGGAACAAGGAAAATGTACTTCATATTTTGTCATGGTCGAACGTATTGTGTAGTATGGGTTTTCAGTGCCACCAAAACGCCATTTGCTAATAAAGCATTATTTATTGGGAATTGGAGGGTTATTTTAGAACCCCTCCAATGTATCTATTTACAAAATATTGGACTAAAAAAATTAAGAAAAAGAAAAAGATTATTGCTTTTTGGAAACTCATTATACGCTATTCATTGACAATTTGAACCATGTTACTTGATTCAAACCTTGGCATGTGTATGGTTATGTCAAGACTAGCAAGAGCAAGAAAGGTTTCATTATTATAAAGCTTGATATGATAAAGTGGAATGGGATTTCTTGAAAATGGTTATAATCAAAATCGGCTTTAGGAATAAATGCATTGATCAATAATGAACCTAGTAGATCTTTATCTTTTAGGGGGTGTTCTTTTTTTGGATTTTGAGAGGGGGAAAGTTGGTTAATGGGATTTTGGTTCTCATTGACCAAGAATCTTATGTTCTTTTTTCAGATTTATGTGGGGACTAGGGAAAGTTTATTTTCCTAAGTACCACTTATCCGGGTAAGTGATACCCATCTTCTAGGTGGGTAAATAACTTTCCCACCTAGGGGGAAAGTTGTCAATACTTGAATGGGACAAAAATGCCCTTTTTAATAATGAAATTTATGGTTGAAATGGGCATTACCTTATTTACATGAGAAATAAAAAAGCATGGGTAAATGGACTTACCCAGGTAACTGCATTAAGCGAACAGGGCCTTAAGATAGGTTCAAGGTAGGGAGACCCTGACTTACCTCTTTCTTCTATGCTTTGAAGCTCTATCTAGTAAACTACATCTTCTAATAAATCTAGTTTTTTTTTTACTGGGATTAAGCTAAACTCTCAATATCATGTTATTTTTCACTTGTTTTTTGTAGATGACAATTATTTTTATTTTCATAAGAACATCTCTTGTCAAAGGGTCATTGTTGGTAGAGACCCTCAAAGACTATGCACATGCCTCTTATCAATGGCTGAATTTTGCCAGATCTGAAATCCTTTTTAGTTATAAATTGCATCTTAGACCAAGGAAAATCATATTTTTTGCTCAAAGTTTTAAATCTTTCTAAGTGTCTAGGTCTTTCAACTGAATGAGCAGAACCAAGTCAGATGTTTATAAAAACTTAACAAATAGGGTATCAAACAAAACAAGCTATTGGTATGATATATTTTTATCTCAAACTAGGAAAAAAACCCTAATTAAGCCTGTTATTACTGTCATTTCTTCTTATGCTTTGTCTTGTTTTCTTATCCTAAAGTTTGTGACATTCTAGTCAAAGAGTAAAGAAAGTTTTAGTGAGGGGAAAAGTTTTAGCGATCATAACAAAATTCATTGGTTGAGTTGGGAGCAACAAATTAGCAAAAACAAAGTGGATAGAGGCTTAGGTATCAAAGATCCTCATTTATTCAACTTAGCTCTTCTTTCTAAAAATACGGGATCTCCTCCCCTCAAAACTTTGCAAGCACCCTAAAAGTATTGGCATCTATACACATATTGGGAACATCTCCCCATGAAGTTAACGCACATGTACAGCAGATATTCCCAATGTGTGGGTGGATACTAGTGTTCAAGGTGCATGCAGAGTTTTGTGGGAGAGAAATCCAGACCCCTTTCTAAATTGGTTTGGAGGTTTGTTGCAAAAGAGAAAAATCTTTGATCTGAAGGCAGCCAAGCCAACTATTGTGAAGAGGGCTTTTGGAGTGGGCAAATCATCATTGTAGTAGGCAGGAAGGTTTCCTATTTGGGATGATCCCCGGATTCCTCCTTTGGAAGGGACAAAAATCCATGCTTCCAACCACAAAACCGTTAACTTATAGGTGAATTCATAGATCATAAGATTTAGTTTAATCTCTTTATTGAACACATTGCTTCAAGTTCCAAGTATATCAATTAGCAATGGGACTTGGAATGATAAACTCATTTAGAAGTCGGATGGACATAGGGAATTTTCAATCAAATCAGCTTATTTTATTACAAAGAACTCTTTATCCCAAGAAAGTTTGTTTCCAAGTAGGCTGATCGTTATAAAGTTTAAACGGAGCCTGCTCTTGTCCCTTCCCATCGGACCAAAAAATTAAAACCTTTATTTGGAAATTTATCCAAAAAACCATGTGCTAACCTAGATAAAACAAAGGCTAATCCCAAGTGGTAGACGCTCTCTTTGCACCAAAAGTACTGAGGCCCTCGTTTGGTTCACGGGAATAGGGGTCTGGAATCGGAATAGGAATGGGCTATTCCGGTTCCAACAGTTTGATTGGGTGGAATCCGAATCTGGGACCAGGCTTGGAAACTTGTGGGCATGCACACTCAAGCCCAGGACCAGGCTTGAACAAAAAACCTAGGCCCAAGCCTTGAATTTTTGAATTAAGTTGGACAGGTTGGTTGGGCCCAAGATTGATTTGAAAATTTGTGAGCCTAATGTGAGCTCGGATTGAGCTAAGCTATTGGGCCAAAACTTAAGCTAAAATTTTGTAGGGCCAAGCCGGGCCTTTTCATCTAAATTTCTTTAGCATTTCAATATAATGTATTTTTTAAGTTACTTATTTTCATTTAAATGTATTTTTAAGACTTTATTAATTATTTTAAAATTATTAATTATAATTATAAAAATATTTATTTTAAAATTTGAGTAATTAGTGTAATTTAACTATTTATTTTGATTAATTAAATTAATGATTAATTAATTTGCTTCATTTACCCAAATAACTAACTTTAAATCTACCGTTCTTGTATTCTTATTAGCCCTTACAATATAGGGGCACCTCAGTAGTGTAAACGAAAATGAGAATTGACATATAGAGGAGTTACTTATCCCTAAAACTGGCTGAGGTGTATTTTGTTTCAAAGTTATATCACATGTTTATATTTGGATTGGTTGCCTTCTATGTATCTCATACTTTTAGGAGGACAATTTGTAATTGTATCATTATTGAGAGCTATAGGAAGGCCTAAACTGACCTTACTATGAAAAGCCTACACCAATTGACCACTCAACTACTTGGTCATCCATAGGGGGAATGAGGGAAGTTTGGTTACAAAGTAATATTGCTTCCTTGTTGGTTTTATATTGTTCTTTTTGTTTTAACTTTGGACTTTAGGTAAGGCTGGTGTGTTGGATGGATTGGGTTGGGTCGAGTCAGATTTGGGTTAAATCCATCGATTTTTTAAGTAGGTCATATGTTGGTTAATAAGTTAAATTGATATGTAATGTAAAGTTGAAGAATAACGCATCAAGGTTGCTGTGGTGTAGTGGTTATCACGTTAGTCTTACACACTAAAGGTCCCTACTTCGATCCTGGGCAGCATCATTCATTTCTTTTGTATGTCTGAAATATTTTCCATTTATTTATTTATCTTTTAAACAAATCCCAACTGAACTCGCTCGAGTGTACATTTGGGCCGCCCGCTTCCAAACTGTTACAAGGAGAGAGAGGAAAGATGGTGACACTGGTGGTAGCTACTACCATCGATCCCGCCTCCATTGGCCCTGCCTCTGCGCTCTTAGCCATGCCCGGCTGGCACCCTGGTCCTTTCCTTCAGGTTTGCTCTCCAACCCCTTCACGCCCAAAAGAAAACTTTTGCATATATATTTTTTACTTCTTAATTCACGTCTCTCTTCTATATATTATTTACAGCTAGCCAGTCACAACCTAAACTGAACACCCATTCCCACTTCTTCAAGAAATTACAACAACAACAACAACAACTGTTTTTTCCCTCCCAATCCACAATTAAATCAAGTTGATAAAATTTCCCTCTATTCTGCTCTTTCTTGAACAGGTTATTGGTAGAAAATACTTGCATTTCTTATGATTCTACCAACTGGCACTTTAATTAATTAATTAAGATTAAGTGACACCTTTTGTTTTTAACCATTAAGTGTAAGTGATAATTCATCTTATGGCGGGTTCGTTAGGAATGATCAAAGGGCCATTGTTCACAAAATTTCTTTGACTAAATGGATTGGATTAGGATATACCAAGCTTCGTCAATGGAGAAGTGAGACTGTTAAAGCATGACAACAGCATTGTCGCAGAGGATCACCTTGATAAGCGTTGGGAGGAGGCCACCAATGAGGTTGTCGATGAGATCATATTTCTGAGCAAGCATACAGCTGTTTCAAATCGACCTGCCCTCACTGTTCATCCTATTGGTATCATTTTTACTTATCTTAATTAATAAAATGCTAGTGGAACAGTTTCCAGTTTGGTTTATTATAGTCTTATAATTTAATTCTGTTGTAGTTAAACGACAAAAGAATTTGAGGGTTTTCTTATTAATGTTAATGGTGTTCTTAGGGCTGTTATTTTGTCCATTCCTTTTAGGTATACCACATTTAAGAGAAGATGATGTTCCTCCTCAAGGTGGAAAGCCTGGATGGGCTGCACCTCCTAGTCCTCGGATAGGGCCATGGCTGAGGCTTCTAAAGAAAATTGCTGAGTCTCATAATTTAATTCCTGAGTTTGAGGTACCTTTCTGCTCCTATTAATTGGTCTTTTACTAGACAAGCCTCATTTGTTCCAAGGCTCATTTTGTTGGGTACACCTCATCAAAACCTAGGTGCACCACACCTGGCTTGTAGCTATGTTGATGAGCTAACCTTGAATTTGATATCGAATAGATAGTTGTAGGTTGTATCGATTATGTTTATCGCTTAAACAGTTTTAGTGTATGTAGGACTTGAATACAAGGCTACAACCTTTGTGCTAATAGCATGATTCTATAAGATTATAACCAATTGAACTAAAAGGTTTTTTGAAATAGTTTATTTCTTTCATAAATTATCTTTTCATATTCTTGTATATTTCCTTTTGTCTTTCCCACAAGTGGCATCTTAATTCAGGAACATTCTTCACCTTGTGCCTTGCATCCCAAGCTCTAGTAACCCCTTGTGCTTCTAACTTATAAAATGTTGCTATTAATATTAGGGCTTGTTAGGGCTTTATGGTTTGGAGTTCGGGGGTTGAAGATATATATATATATGCCACAATGACAGAATATACACTTCTTTTTTATTTGTGTGTGTATAGCCTTGTGCCCCAATACAAAGTTAGGTTTATAACTACTATGGACCAGAGTAGCAAACGTATGTTGTCCAAAGCATGGCTTACCTGATATGTTGTAGAATTCCTCTCATATGGAGATACAGAATCAATGATAAAATTTTCTTGTATGATAATGCGGTGTGTGAAATTGGCTCACAAAATAAATTACCCTTGTTTGGTTAATTTCGTCACTTATTTGTTCTTAATAAGTAAATTGTGGGTTTTTTCTTTACTTTCCTCTCATGTAGGTCACTTTGGAGGGCACCCATCATGGCCCTGTGACCAATTCACCAACCATGTTTTTGGAGATTGGTAAATTTCTGCCCATTAACCCTATTAGCTCAATTAATTATTTGGTAATTATCACTTCAATATTTGCATGATTAAGGGGGTGTTCTACAACATGTTTTTTCTTAGAAGAGGTAAAAGAAAGAAAAAAAGATCCATGTACAACCTGATCTATACAGTGGGAAAATACAAAAAACATTAGACCACTATCCCATTTGTGATTACAAAAAGGTTTGCATACTGAAGGAGAGAACTAAGGGGAACACTATCTCTGGATAGGTGTGCCAAATGACCAGGATAACAGTTTCCCAACTATTTTCTGCCATACTTCCTCCTCTTGACAGCCTTTGTTTCAAAAGAGCCTTGAGTTTCTTTCCTTCCATATCGACCAGAACACTGCTCCTGGGACCAATTGCCATAGAATTTTCCCTTTCTTACTCAGACCATGGGTCCACCAGCCTTTTACGATGTGAATGTTTTTCTTTTTATTTGTTTTTCAAATTGTCACATCAACAAAAAACAAAAAAACATGTTCTTGAACTGTGTTTTTGTTCGGCCAAATCCAAGGTACGCTAGAAACTGACTCGAGGATAGGGAGGGAGTCGATGAGGACTGGGTAGCATTTTGTTTGGAGGAAGTCAAAAGTGATGAAGATTCTGAAGATAAGTCCAGCCTAGGCAGTGTTGGGGATGAATTTTCGTCTGAGGAAGAGCTTGAGGCAACTCTAAATCTGGAGTTGCTATTTAAAGGAGAAGTAGAAGCTAAAAATCGAAGCAATACTCTATCTCGGCCTGACAGAGAGACAGTCAACAGAGTGGAGCACAGTCAAACTCTTGGAGTTGGAAACCCTCGCTCACATTCAGAAGGGCCATTACCAAATATTTCTGTTGACCAGGAAGTGTGTAAGCATTTTTCTATGACCTCTCAGCGGCAAGATGGGTACAATAGAGAGGGATAAACAAAAGGGTGAAAGGACTCACTATTTAACACAAGAGATGGGAAGGCACTCTTTTCAGAATCAAGCCAAGGAGATAGGCGAACCCCACTCTCCAAAACAGGGCACGATAGACCAAACTAATACCCCCTGCACTCCCCTTCCAAACCAGCAAACTCCAAGTAACCGTGTCCTTTCAGGTTTTGCTACTAATGAGTGTTCTATGTATGTTGTGCCAAATTCAGGTCCCATTCCAGAGATTGTAGCCTGTGTTGAAGAAGAAGAGGGAAGAGAGAGTAGTGAAGTTAGGGAGAGGAAGGAGAGTGGGGAGGGGATGCAGGAGGAAGCAAAGAGAAATAAAAGAATTTGGGAAATTCTGGAGAGGTTGTTGGATGAAATTGAGGAGAATTATTTACAGAAGGAAGGGGCAGAAGGGGTAAACACTGAAAAAGCTAGAGAGGATGAAGGAAGTTTGGGGAGAAAAAAGCATGGAGTGAATAAGAAACCCGACAAAGGAGAACTGAGTAGTGAAGACTCTGTGGCAGCATTTGTAGGGAAGCTTGGCTGTAAATTGAAAGATCCGAATGATTGTTTTTGATAAATAACAAAAACCTTTATTAATAGGTATTAGTAGAGAAGGATACAAGAGGAGGGGTAAAAACTCTTAACCCTCCCAATAAGTACAATTCAGTTTACAATAATGCCCAGAAAAAATTGACTCTTCCCACCCCCTTGTTTGGCCAATGAATCTGCCAAGGAATTAGCACCGGTGTTTTAAAAGGCGTGGGAGGCGTATGCCTGGAGGTGCACCTCCCAGGTCAGGCGCTCCCAAAACGCCCTGAGGCGTATGACAGAGGCGCTGACACCTCTGAGGCGTACGCCTCAGGTGCAAGAGGCATATGCCTCTTGCGCTTTTTTCATGAGGCGTGCTAGAGGCATACGCCTCATACACCTCATGCACATCTTATATAAAAAGACAAAAAAAAAAGAAAAAAGAAAAAAAGGAGAGGAAAGGAAAG